ATTTACGGTCTTCTCTACTGTTTTACATTCCCCTGTGTGCTTGACACCATAACTTTTGGCTCAAATGTATTCTTTTGTGCGATTATATATCAATACAACGTTAAATGATGTGTCCCTATATGAATATGCTTCACATGTTTACTCCTGTGGGCTTATATGTGCACCACCAATGTCAGCATAATCTTATCCTAATGTGGGTTGTTAATGGGGAATGTCTTTTGCCTGCACTGACTGCACTGTCAAATTGTGCTTATGACTGCAGTTCGCTACTTGTCCACTGTGCATGCCAGCGTCCTGTACCCTAGGCAACCAGCTGATGTTACTTCCAGCTAACGGCCATATCATTACAACTCGCTGTGTACATTAGTGGATTACAGGTGAGCCTCATTTGAGTGCAGAATGGCGGGAATATACGGTTTTCCAGCTGCAACTGGTGGGAGTGGTCTGTTTTTAATATGCACTGGTATGTCTATTTAAAGGTGATGGTTTGCTTTACTGTGTCATTCTGAGCCTGATGAAGGGGTACTGCTGAGACCCCGAAAGTGCTTGTATTGGATGGCGATTTGTCAATAAAGGACTTTTTGCTTCAAAACTTTTGGTGTGCTGGTGACAATCCTTTCTAGATCTAAATTCCTGACATGTCACCATGTAAGCATTCAGTAAAAACACTACTTATCACTAAAATGCAGGCCTTCAACTAGACCTAAGAGGGGCACCTCGGAGAATAATATTATCCATAAGGAAGCATTTCCTCATTCAGTCCTCCTGCACTGTAGCTTTCAGGCAGCTCCCTATGTGAGAGAATGGAATGAATTGTGTGAAACGTGTACCAGTGACGTGCGGTACCTTCCGTGCTGGGTGAGGCATTCCCCCCCACAATCACACGCAGCACCCGTCCCTCCCGGGAATGGCCCGATACGGCTGTGCACGTTGCACGGATCTGTATGGCTCGACTTTACACTGTGTGAACAAGGCCTGATACTAGGTGCGGCTCTGCCTCCCCTGACCTCATGTCACTGATGTGTACATACTGCTATGAACAAGGGGGGTTTTTGTTTCCATTTTTATCCTTATTTCTATTCTTCTCTGTTTTTTTCCTCTTGTCTTTCGACTTGTCTTGACTTTTGCAGAGATGTTCTCTGGAGAGGATATGGAGTGTGTTCATCTCTGCATGTTCTTATTTGCTACTGTTTTTTTTAGATATTATGAATAAGTTCTTTGTTTTTTTGTCTTTTACAATTTATTAAAACTTTTTGGAAATGAGAGAATGGAATGAATTGTGTGAAACGTGTACATACTGTAAGAAAAAAGGGGTGATTTGAACTAATCATAATATGTATAACACTAATAATATGAATTTTAATATATAATATCCGTATTATTGATCAACACCCACTTAATGTCTTTTGCCTGCACTGACTGCACTGTCAAATTGTGCTTATGACTGCAGTTCGCTACTTGTCCACTGTGCATGCCAGCGTCCTGTACCCTAGGCAACCAGCTGATGTTACTTCCAGCTAACGGCCATATCATTACAACTCGCTGTGTACATTAGTGGATTACAGGTGAGCCTCATTTGAGTGCAGAATGGCGGGAATATACGGTGTTCCAGCTGCAACTGGTGGGAGTGGTCTGTTTTTAATATGCACTGGTATGTCTATTTAAAGGTGATGGTTTGCTTTACTGTGTCATTCTGAGCCTGATGAAGGGGTACTGCTGAGACCCCGAAAGTGCTTGTATTGGATGGCGATTTGTCAATAAAGGACTTTTTGCTTCAAAACTTTTGGTGTGCTGGTGACAATCCTTTCTAGATCTAAATTCCTGACATGTCACCATGTAAGCATTCAGTAAAAACACTACTTATCACTAAAATGCAGGCCTTCAACTAGACCTAAGAGGGGCACCTCGGAGAATAATATTATCCATAAGGAAGCATTTCCTCATTCAGTCCTCCTGCACTGTAGCTTTCAGGCAGCTCCCTATGTGAGAGAATGGAATGAATTGTGTGAGCTGTGTGAACAAGGCCTGATACTAGTTGAGGCTCTGCCTCACCTGCCTCCCCTGACCGCATGTCCCTGATGTGTACATACTGCTATGAACAAGGGGGGTTTTTGTTTCCATTTTTATCCTTATTTCTATTCTTCTCTGTTTTTTTCCTCTTGTCTTTCGACTTGTCTTGACTTTTGCAGAGATGTTCTCTGGAGAGGATATGGAGTGTGTTCATCTCTGCATGTTCTTATTTGCTACTGTTTTTTTTAGATATTATGAATAAGTTCTTTGTTTTTTTGTCTTTTACAATTTATTAAAACTTTTTGGAAATGAGAGAATGGAATGAATTGTGTGAAACGTGTACATACTGTAAGAAAAAAGGGGTGATTTGAACTAATCATAATATGTATAACACTAATAATATGAATTTTAATATATAATATCCGTATTATTGATCAACACCCACTTTCTACTGCTGGAGAGGGGTAGGTCAGCTAAGAAACACACACCATAAACTGTAGGTTTAAAAAAAATATATGGTAACAGGAATTTAAACATACACAGCTTGATTATTGATAAAGAAACTATTACAGTAATAACAAAAACACCAAATCATATCAAGGAGTACTACACACAGGAACACTAACACAGCAATAGCAAACCAACTATATTAAATACACTACTAAACCAGGGAAAGCACTAACCCAACACCTCTACAACACAAGCATTATATATGCAAATTGGCTGGCATAATTTGACAATTGAAGGTACAGTTATTACCCATCCTGTAAGAGGTACACAGATTCTGCACTCTGGGTCCCAAAATGGCTTCCTCCTCCCAGCTCCTCTGTCCCACAATGGCTCGTCTCCTCTCAGGTCCTCTGTCTCCGAATGGCTCTCCTTTCCTCCCAGGGCCTCAGACTCTTTATCCTCACTATACCCATTCGTTATCATCAGAAACCCCTGATTGGTCCACCAACCCTAATCAGTGCTGTCTCACGATACCGATTGGATGACAACTTAAATGCCTTTGATCTAATCACCACTTAGGTTACCCATCCCCTGGCTGGCTCCATTTTGTCTACGAAGAGTATAGATATGCATGTTATCTTGTGTGACTTTCCTACACAATGGATACTCCCACAATACCACTTGGTGTAAAACCATTTTAACATCTCAAGGTGCCCATTGATCTCAAAGAGAACAAAAGGGATGAGATCCGCCGGGCATATAAGCATGCTAAAAAACAAATCCCTTATTTACACCAGTCTCAGAGAAACCCAATTACAATTCTATTGACGTCTGTGTCAACTGTACATCATTTTGTCAAGCTACACCTTTTAAGAATCATCCACCATATACCTATATGAATTCATTAAATGAATATATAAATTGATTTAATATGAACCTTGGGATTTCTTACAATACTACCATGAACAAGGTACTTTGTGGAGTAGGCTACAAACGTATCATGTTTTGCTGGGTATTCTATTGTTTAGGTTGAATATGAAATCTAGCATCTGTCTTTTTGTGCCAACATGCATGCTTCACCAATGGCAGCCACCAAGATGATTTACATGTATGAACTGGTACTCAGGTACCCCAAGGAACATAAGCTCCAGATTATCTGGTAAGATAGGAAATGTGGAGATGGCAGATGGAGATAAAAGGTTTTATCCATCCAGTTAGGATGAGTACTGAAGGGTGAGTTAGAGGCATAGTTGGGAAGTGTTGCCAAATGCTGTTGCCTGGGGTAACCAGAACTAGAGCCAAACCCATATTCAGAGCCAATCCATATACACAGCCGAGGTCAGGACAATCAGCAAAGTCAGGACAAGCAATTTTTATAACTGAACTCAATTTGAAATGCAAAAAACAAGTCATTCCCATGAGCTAACACACTACTTTGAGTTTTACAAATTGCCCTTAATAGGAAGCTTATCCAATCAGGATGCAAACTGATGGCCTCTTGGCCCAATCTCTGCAGGTGAACAGGCTTCCTGAAACTATAAAGGGGATGCTGCAACAAGAACCAGTAGAAAAGTATATCCATAGTAGATGCCAACCTGTGAAAAAACCTCCGATTTCAATACTCCACCATTCAATGCAAAGCATCAGCATGCTCGGGATAGCAAGGCGTAAGAATATATCCCACTCCTGAAGGCAGTCTTTGGACCATCCTGAGAAGAGACATTTTTCCAAAACAGCAGGTCAACCATGTATATCTAAAAAGAACTATAACAGTTGATATAAAATTAATATAACAGCATTGCAGAATTATGTATGAAGAGTTTTATCCTTTTAATTGCCAAATACTGAATGTTACGTTAAAGTGAACCTGTGCTTTGCCAATTCAGGCAAGCCAGTTATTTATATTTACATTACTTTTTTCCCTGCCATACTATTTGGTTTATAGGGGCAGGGACAGGAAGCCCTGTGCAAACTCAGGACTCTGTTCCCACACCCATGTGACAGCGCTATATGCCTGAGCAACCAATTACCAACATTGTCATATGGGAGTAAGGAACATGGGGCAATGAGTCACATGCTCACAAATATCCAGAAATATTGGGTCATTTTCTTACGTCCCAGGGGTTGAAGAAGAATGTGGTGTTGGTAAATCCACTATTACAGTGAACCTGTTCCTTTGTGCTGCAAGGACAAAGCACAGGATTGTTTTAAAGGAAAAAATAATGTTTTTTAGGTTTTAATGTTTTCAGATTTATAAACTATAATTTTCAATACTGGTACAAAATATGTATTGTTAAAGTACACTTTGCTGGCAGCCAGGGCCCTTCTGTTCTCAGCATGCCACTATTTAGGCCAGGTATTTCTCTTTTCAGTCAAAGGTACCAGTGGGGGAGTGAAGGGAAGGTCAATACATGTAAGTTAGGTAGTGGCAACATTGAAGTAAACCTGTTGCTTTGCTCAAAGAACATTGAAACATTTTCAGTGTAAATAACTGTTACTATGTAGCATACCTCCCCATGTTTCCACATGCACTTTTTTAACCACTGTGTATGTAAAAAGTAAAAGTGACATTGTCCACTGAGAAATTGTGTTTGCCCAAGCTGAACCTCTGAAAAACAAATATACAATTAACCTATTACAATGGTAATACATACAGTATTTTCATATGCAAATATTAAGCAATAGACTAAGTAAATACAAAAACACATTTGATTAAAACGGACCTTGCTGTAAAATGTAATGTCTACTTATACTGTCTGGGTCCCTTCACCCCTTTAATAATCACCTAATGTTAGAAGTTCCAAAATGTTACTGTAAAGAAAAAGTTAGATTTATAGTTACTTTACCCCCAACTAATGCCCACAGTGTTCAAGGGAGGATGACATCACATTTCTTTCTGCTAGATCCTGAAGAATACAGAGCAAAACTCAATAGAAGACACATTTGCAATGGACTTCAGTGTCTTGTCTGCTCTGCACTCGCTAGCAATCCTCCCAGAAGGGTTGTGGAAGACGGGGGTAAGAGAAGTATGAATATAACTTTTTTCTTTACAAGTACCTTTTGGAACTACTAAAACAGTAATTTCAACATTATTAAAGGAGGAAGGTGCCCGAATATTACAGATATGCACATTAAAAAAAGAAGCCACAATTTTCTCTGAAATAATTTAAAACTGAGATAAGTAATTGTCATCCATCATTGTTTATTTAATATTCAATAACAATTTTGATTTTGATTCAACAGAATATTTAAATGGCAGAAATGTAAATTAAATATAGAAATGGCATGGACAAAAATGATGGTACCTTTAATCTTATATTTTGTTGCACAACCTTTAGAGGTAATCACTGCAAACAAGTGATTTCTGTAGCTCTCAATGAGACTTGTGCACCAGCCAACAGGTAGTTAGGACCACTCTACTTGAGCAAACTGTTCTAGTTGTCTCAGGTTAAAGGGCACGGTTTCCATAGATGTCCAAAAGGATTCAGATCAGGTTCCATAGAAGGCTAATGTTTGTTCTTAGCAGTGGCGTCACAAGTGGGGTGCGGCCCGCACTCGGGTGACACCAAAATGCTTGCCAGTCATTGATTGAGAGCCCGACAGTTGCAGGAAAGAGTAGGGGACTCGACGGCATACCTTATCCCACCGGGTGAACGTCCCCTCCTCTCTCTGCCAGCATCCACCACCAAGATGGCTGCCAGCAGGTATCACCAGCATAGCCGTGCATGCGCTGTGACATCATCGTGCACGTGCGTGGTGATGTCACGCGCATGCGCAATGACGTCACGGCAGGGTGTCACCCAGTATCCGCTCCCTGGTTCTCAGCCATTTTTGGGTGCTTTTAGCTATATTGTTTGGATAATTTTCCTGATGGAAGACCGATGACCTGCTACTGAGACAGTTGCTTTCAGACACTGGGTAGGGCATTTTGATTCAGAATTCCTTGATTAGTTTACATTTAGTTGTGCTCTTCAGAGATTCAAGACAACCCATGGCAATTGCATAAAAGCACGCCAAAAAGTAATTAAGCCTCCTCTATGTTTCATAGTAGGTACGGTGTTCTTTCCTTTAAAAGGTTTTTTTTCTTTCAACTGTGAACATAGAGTTGATGTGATTTGCCAAAAAGCTTCATTTTTGTTTTAACTGTCTAAAGGTCATTCTCCCAGAAGTATTGTGGATAGTCAGTATGCATTTTAGCAAATTCCAGGCAGGCTTTTTTGTGTTTTTCTAGTCCCCCTGGTTTCCTTCCTTTGAGACCACTGTTCTCACTGTGCTCAAAATGTGACGGATGGTGCAATCGGACCTTGACCTTGGAGTTCAGCTTGTATCTCTTTGGAATTTTCCTTGGCTTTTTGTCTATAATTTACACTATCCTTCTGTTCAATCTGTGGTCAATTATCCTCTCGTAGCCATGCTCAGACAGGATGGCCACACTCCAGTGGATCCTAAACCTCTTAATAATATTTGCAATTGTAGTCACGGGAACATTAATCTGCTTGGAAATGGTCTTCAAAGTTTTTACATATGACATACTGGTCTATAATGTTCTTTCTGATCTCCTCAGACAACTCTCTCCTTTGCTATCTCTAGTTCATGTTCAGTGTAGCGCACACAAGGATAACAAACAGCAGAGTGACTACTTTTCTCCATTGAAATTTGCTGAATAACTGATTACAAGATTGAAGGCATGTGTGATACTAATTGCATAAAACATTTGTAAATATCACTATCATCAAAGTTATTTATATTCTATTCTAAAGGTACCAACAAATCAATCCAGGACCCTCTTAGAATATCTTTGTAGAATAAGGAATGTCACACTTTGTTTACTTTTCTCTATGACATACCAGAGGAATTCAGGTATAGAAGGAATGATGCATTGTTCCAATAAATACTTGTCAAAATGCCCTGTTTTTACAGGGGGTCGGGGAGGGGGGCGCAAAAATGCACCTTGCCTGTGTAGGCACGAATCCTACCACCGGCCCTGGCAGTACTAATGTACATTTGTGAAATAGTTGGGTACATTTTTTGTAAAATGATTGCCTTTAGGTTGTTCTCAGTATTACAATGAAACTTAAATAAATGTGACATACTTACTCTATGCCCATCTTAAGGACGTATATGAAAATAGCATTGACAACAGCATTGATGATGTTTACTGCTACACCAGTGAAAAATGGAGGCCATATTATACCCTAGAAAAGGAAAACATATGTTTATGTCATTCTGCATGAAAATAAATTACATTTTATTGGGGCTGCGGAAATTAACGATTAATTCCTCGATTAATTGTTAATTTTTTTGATCAATTAAATTTTTTTTGATCGCTACTCACCTCTCCGCCGTCTTCCGGGTCTTCCGGGAGTTCCGTCGGAGATCCGGTGACGTAACGGACATTGACGTCACCAGACTCCTCCCCCTTCCCCAAGTGGCTCTGTCGGCTAACGAAGGGAAGGGGGGAGGAGTCCGGTGACGTTGATGTCCATGACGTCACGCTTCAGCGACCAGAGAAATGGTTTGAGATGGATATGAGGGCTTAGCTGTTGACTTTTGAAAGTAAGTAGAAATTTCCAAGTCGGTATACTCTTAAAGTGTTTGTTACCCCAAAATATAATATTCCATATAGGTGTTGTGTTATACATTTACTTCCTACTAAATGTAGACTGTAACTTTTTTTTGTTTTTTATTGCCTATGTTTTTGCTAAATACCTGGTGATCCCACTAGTTCCCCATGGTTTCTATTTCAGACTGACCACACTAGGCACGAAAGCAGATCCATCCTAGTCTGGTCAGTTTGCATTACTTCTCTTGATTTGGGAGCTACTGGATGCTGTAATAATGCAGGATGTGCCTGTGGTTCTACAGTCAGACTCAGCTGCTACGTCCCTGTCCACCCCTCCACAGTTTAATTGACGGTGACAGGAGGCATGCTGTCTGCAGAGTTCTTTGTATAATGTTGGCAGAAGGTGTTGATGGAATCTGCCGAGTGTTTCCTGAAGGCTCTGATGTGGGAAAGGTATTGTGACCACAGCGAAAGAAAAGGTATCCGTCTATATATAATTTTTTTTAACTGAAAGTGGGGCTGAGTGTGTATAATAGTCCCTAGTGTCTTTGTGTGTTGTTTACAACTTTCACATACATTTTAAGGCTGCACAACTCAGAACAAAGGTTAATTTTCTAAAAAATAATCATTCCTGCAGCTTGAAAAGTGCATTATTACAGTAATGTGCATGGAGCCTGAAGTTTTCTAAAGCCTGCTGAGGGTTGCTTTCAGTAAGCCCGAAGCTTGCTGAAAGCTTTGCAAATGCTCTGTTAATGGTTTCTTTACACACTGTTCCTATACAAACTGAAACTTGTGTTTAAAAGTCCTGTCAGGAAGCAAAACTCTTATTTTAGCTGGATTGGAGGGAAATAGTGCTTGTTCCAGGACACATATTTTTCATAGAATTATTACTTCATTGCTGTGCTGTATATGTATAGGCCAATGTAGTTGGATCTCTATGTGCGTTATAATTAATAAAAATGAATCGATTAAAAACATTTTGATTCATCGAACACGAAAATTTTAATCAGTAACAGCCCTACATTTTATACAAAAGTCAGGGTAGGTTTTTATAAAGTCATAACGTGCTATGTGCAGAACTATGATACTAGCTGCAGATTGCAAGACCAGAGATTGGTCGGCCATTGCTATATACACCATCTATCTTCCCTGAAAATAGCCGCATAGTTTATATTGTAAGATAAGCTCCATTACATCTTCCTATGCAATTATATGAGCACTTATATGTTTATTAGTAAGGCAAAGCACATATAAACCATAGCAATTACCTCATCGTTTAATCCTAATTAAGTTCCAGTGCATTTAAAACATTTTTACATGCCTTGTGCCATGTTTTTGCATTATTAATTAGGAGAAAATGCCTGCAACTGAAACGAATATGTTACTATGGAATGTTGATTCAACTTTTACCTGATTGTATAAATATTTTGATTGCAACTGCTGAAGAAATACTGCCTGTGATAAAAATAAGCATATAAAGTACAATTTAGCACATACACAGTATAGAACAGAACGCAGGATTTTTAAATCAGATCATTCTTATTGTATTTTTGTTTTAACAAAACAACACACAATACAAATACAAGCATAAAAACAAGAGTCACAACAAAAAGGTAAAATATCCATAGCAGTGTCACTTTTCTCTGCAGCCCCGAGTCTGGCTCGGGGTTACCGCTCCTAGCATTGAAAATTCACCCCGAGCCAGACTCGGGATTACCGCCAGGGAGGTTAAGTGTGTTATGCTGTGTAACCTGTTTATGAAAAGACTGTCAACCCTCGTTATCTCCCTTTGTACTCTGAAAGAGCTCAGAACAATGACATTCTGGCCAGGCTCCTGCTATGGCTGTCTGGAGCTCTTTAGCAGGTAGACCCCTGTGGTGTTGTGCAGACAGAATGTCCGAGGAGGGCAGGGTGGAGGTGATAGGATTATAATCTGATCTGATCACTTTCTGTATAAAAGGTTGCACAGTTTCTTAATAAAGTTTGTTTCACCCTACACTCGGTCTCGACTAGTGACTGGGGAAACTGGGAGCTAAAGATCAGCGGGTTGCAACATCTCCTGAGCAAGGAAGAATACAGCGGCGGACATACTCATCCTGAGTACTGGGGTCCGTCACAGCCTACATCCCAGAGTTTCCAAAAGTGATATAAAGCTGTGAACAATCCATTATTTTAGATCAGATCAAAATACCTATGATAAGGATTGGTACAAAGGAAAATAACCATATATACAAATGTGTATATGCACCTATATAACCTGGTATGTACTGACAGTATACAGATAGTGCTGCAATATGAGATGTATGAGATGAACAAAGATCATATTCAAGAAGGAGCATACTGGAGGGTAATATGTAATTTGAGGAATATATCCAAAGGAATATACTTTGTACAATGAAAAGCTCACAGAGGAATTTATGCAAGAAAATTGAGTGCCTAGGGACAGATGAATTCAGGAAATCTGGAACAGTTGGGTTATATGCTGCTGTCTACATGGGGTTTGGACACTGGCAAACAGAAAGAAACATTGAAGTCTAGCCCCTGTTTATAACCGTCATGCCTTTTGTGAATGAGCAGTAAAAAAGCCCATTAAACACAGAGGGTGGAACCTTTGTCTCTCAATGGACTTTGAGAAAAAGATTTTACAGTAAGTACAAAAATCTTTGTGCTCCACAAGGTAAGGTCAGTGGGTCTAAGGATGACAAAAGGTCCAATTGTTGAACGATCCTAGGCATCAGGGAAGAAGGATGCAAGAAGGAGCAGAAGAAGGAGCATGTCTAGGACAGCCATCTCATGGGAGATAACCTAGCATAAAGCTCCAAGGCGGACCTAATGAGTTGGAGACAACTCAAATAGAGAGATTGAGAAACAAAGGGGAAAAGAGGGTGCGAGAAGTATCTTACACCAACACAGTTAGGAGTGGGAAGACACCCACCCCATATTGGTGGAGCAACACCAGAAAAACAATGTGGCGAACAGAGGAACCCACTACAGTACCTACCTAGCTGATTAAGGGCATGGAAATGCAAGTGTCTGGACTTGTACTATCTGACATGGGAAGTTTCCGGATGCATCATGAGCTCTCTGCTGAAAAGGGAACACCAAGCCCTCCAGCAATGATAAAGCATGCCCAAGTGCACAAATTCATCTCTAAAATGGAGATGACAGGATGGAGAGGCCCAGAGGGAAAAAAACAGTACCTCTAAAGAGAACCATATGGTTGAGAGTAACATCCTCAATGTCATCCAGAATTGGAACCAGATCAGTAGCCTTGTTATAGGGAGAACTCCCAAACCTTCCTATAGGTGCAGGTGTAAAGAACCAAAGCGATGTCAGAGTCCATGTCAAGGGACCTACTCCTAGCAAGACCCCCAAAGAGGCAACCAACTGCTCTGGGGAAACGGTTTTGATTCTCAGATATGAGGACAGTCCTGAGACAGGAGTCCTCCTATGATGGAGGGAAAACAACACCCCATAGGCCCTTAAAAGGTTGAGGGTGCATTGTGCTTCAGCAAGGATCTAAGCTGATTAGCCTCTAGCTTGTAAGTCTCTAAACAGTGGAAACTTGCAGGAGTTGGGCCCTTCTAAGAATTCTGGCTATCAGAGTCCAGAAAATGAACTCTTAGGTTGCCTAAGCATCGGTGTTGCCAAGAAAAAAGGCACTGGGATGGACATAAGGTTCAGTGCTATCAGCAACTACAAGTGCCATTAAAGGATACTTAGTAGATACTTAGTGGTCAGGACTCTAACTCAGAAGGTACCTCTGGGAGAGAGAATACTGAAAATCAGCATTAGCCAGGGATAAAGAATTTCACAGAGGAACACCTCCCAACGACAACGTTAGCCATACACTGTTCTATTTTTTATTTAATGAAAGAAAATAGTTAGAGAATGCCCCCTCTGCAACTTCTGCCACTGATAGGGCGAGGGGATGGTGGTCACAGTTTTATTTGGGCTTGGTTAATCTCTAATTGTAAGCACTCCAGAATGAGGAAAATAAACACATAAGGCAAATTATATGCTGATATGCACAACAATGAAATCATTAAAACGTGTACAGATCCATGCAATTTACATTTTACACTTACATTATTTTATTATTGAAAATATGACAGAGGGAAATCTACAGAAACAGAAAGTAACCAATGGCTCCCACTCACCCCTGAGGGGAAGCTATCTGCTCTCCATGTGCATAGCCTGGTTTTATGCTTCATATTCAGGCTAGGATTGCTATACTTAGGCGAATGCCTGTGCCCTCTACTGGCAACAATTAGGCAGTGCAGGGAGCCAGGCTGCCTTTTGTATTACCAAGCAGCAAGTACAAGCACAATACCAATTATTATTATTATACAGGCTTTATATAGCACCAACAGTTTGTGCAGCGCTTTACAATATAAGGAAGACATTACAATCACAATAAATATCAAGACAAGATGGTAAGGAGGGCCAATATCAATGACTTAGCAAAAGGTTTCTGTCTTTCCTTGTGGGTTTTGAAACATGTTTGAATCCCTGTTCTGGTCACTGGTCCTGATCAATTTTCTCTTTGCAATCTGCCTTGATCTCCTGCATGAAGAGCATCTGCCTAGACCTACGCCTGTCATTCAGCTATGCCTGAACACTGCCTGTCCTGGGCCAGTTTATGAAACATGCTCTTGCCTGACAATCACTTCAAACCTCTTTGCAGCTATACTCACAAATACAAATTACTCTTTCGACTTTGCACCTCTTGGCAGCCCACCCTACCACAGGTAAGGTAACACAGGTGAAGTTTGAACAAAAAAAAAACAAAAAACTACAGCATTATTATCTAAAACAATTAGAAAACGTGAATATAGAAATATGTCCCAGATACAAGAGACAGGATCTATTACAAGAACAAAACTTACAGGTAGACCAGGTAAAAAGATCATCACATACTTTTGCGTTAGCCTAAAAAAAATAATATGCATATGTGTTTTATTAACTTAAATTTATATTGTCAACTTATATGGTTGTTGCTGCTCTTCTCGCCTGTTCAGCGTGTTGCACTGTGCAAAACAAATGTAAGAAAGGAAGAACTACTTAAAATGCACCTCTAATTTTCTGTTTGACAAATTCTACAGAAACATTGCAAGTGGAATTGCAAAACTGACATCAAGAACTGACATAAATGCATGAAGGTTGTGCTACAGAGAATGTGGCAAGCAGAGTGATTTTCATCTTATTACAGCAGGAGGAGTGTTGAAAACTCAGACAGAGAGACCATGCACCAAAAGTGTATCCGCATTCACTCATTATCTATTGTTTACACAGAGCCTATTTTTTTTGTCATTGTGGAGTTAGGTGTCATTCAAACAGGGTGTGTTGCTCCATACAGCGTGTAGGGGTGGTTGTTGATGCGTCTGGAACTGCTGGAAGAAGCATGTGGGCAGCTCATGTAACTTCATATAGTTGCAGGAGCTGTGCACCCTCACACACTGTTTTCCTGCAGCTCCAAGTTTTGACATGTGCACACAGACAATCTAGGGCCTCAGATGCACTTGATGATCCATGTCTATATATAGTCTGTGTGTGCCTGTCATACTCGGAGCTGCCGGAAGCAGCGTGTGGGGGCTCACAGCTCCTGCGTCTGCATAGAATTACATGAATTACCCACACTCTTCTCTGCTCTTATGCTATATGGAGAAACACGCCCCATGCAAATGAAGCCTTCCAATAAATACTTTTTGATTTCCCTTAAGGGCTCTGGAATGCACTGTATCGACTTCTGCCCTCTCCCTGCGTTCAGGGGCGGGAGGGGGTGTGACTGTGCATTGAAGTCAATAGTGCTTTCAGCATTTTTGCAGATCGAACTGGACCGGTACACACGCAGTAATGTGCCACGCGTTTGGTTGCGGGCGATAGTACTGTGAATGCAGGGAGCTGGGAGCTGGCTGGAGTGTGATACAATGCGTTCCAGAGCCTGACTGCTCTGGAATGCACTGTTAGGGGTGTGAACCAGCCCTAAAGCAGATCTTCTGTTTATTTATTTAATTTGAAACAACTTGCCCAGCTACTTAAAAAATAAAAAATGCAGCTATTGCTGCAATACTCGCCTCATCTCTAGTGTTGTCCATGGAGAAACTCCCCTCTGCCTTTAGTCCTCTTCTGAACTGAATAACAGCCAGCTTCATTCAGCCCACTTCCTATGAGCCCAAGCAGTCATGGACACACCCTCTTGGGATGCCTCAGCACATCAAACTCAGCTCCCAGTACAATAGCTCAGAGAACTGCGATGACATCTTTACATCAGCACTTCTCTGCAGTATTGAAGACCACCCATCACCACCACCACCACCACCACAGGGAGAAGAGGATCCTGGGAAGACTTTGTCTCATGACCTGCCATAAGACCCCAAGAAAAAATGCATTATGGAAGTTTAAAAAAAAAAAAAGCTGCATTGAGTATATGAGTGGGGAGTGGTTAAAAATAGAGTTCAGCTTTTGCTCAATACATTTATTACAGATATTTATATAGCACCAGCAATGTATGCAGTACCTTACATAGAGAACATCCACATCAGTCCCCACCCTCAAGGAGCTTACAACCTAAAGTCCCTATCTCACATGCATACAAGGCCAATTTAGACAGGAGCCAATAAACCTTCCAGCATGTCTTTGGGGTGTGAGAGGAAACCCACACAAGTACAGGCAGAACATGCAAACTCCAAGCAGTTAGTGTCCTGATCAGGATTCAAACTGAGGACCTCAGTGCTTCAATGTAGAGGTCCTAGCAACTGAGCCACTGTGCCTACATGTGTTATTGATTCATACATATGGTTTGTTAAAGGTGAAACAAAAGAAGGCAATACAACTAACCTGGCAATATCTGGGTTCTGTTTGCACAGTAGAAGGATCTGCTCCGTATTAATTAATATTGCCCAGCAAGGGAAGCAGCAAAGCATTAGAATAAGAATTCCTCTCTGCAGGATTGTTCCCACTCGCTTCAAATTCTTGCTGCCATATGTCTGAAAGAATGAGTATACACATACACAGATATGATAATCGTAGTTAATATTATGCTAGCTAATTATTGGAAGTTGATATAAACTCCAGGCAAACAGCGAAATACACATTTTCAATAGAAGGGAGAGGACTGTTGTCAGGGCAACACTACCAACTCCTAGTAGTGATCTTATAGATTTCAAGGTTACTCAGTTTACTGAGAAGGGAAGTCCTTTGAAATGTCTAATTTTTGCTAGATTTCCTAAAAAAATAAAAAGGACAGTGATATGAAGAAATAGAGAATCCCATTTGTGTGTCAGTTTCATGGATTTTGCCAACAAATTTTCTTGTGCATTTGACAGCGTTGGCATATATTGTGCACAGTTTATCCCAATATTTATGAATTGCCAATATTTAAGAATTTCAGGATATGCTGATATGAGGCTTTAGGCAGAACCCTACAATTAGGGACAGACTTGTGCATGATGAACAAATAAAACAGGATTTGGATTTATACACTTCTGGGACTGACAAGGAAGGGGTCATACCCCTGAAACATAAAGCTGGCCATACACTAGGAGATTTCCAAATGAATTTTCATATGAAAGATCTTTCTTTATTTACCACCCGTTAATGCCATCAGACACTTTATCTACCACCCGTTAATGCCATCAGACACTTGACGAATGTTGATCGAAATTTTGTTTGATTTTTAATGTTCGATTTAGGAACAAATGGAGGTTTACTGAATGAAAATCGCCTTCACTGTTAGAATTTCTTTCGTTCTAGAAAAATCCTGTTCCTTCAACTTTTTTCATCACTACGTTTGAAATCGATCATTGATTCGACCCCATCAACTAATAGAAAGTCGGAAAAATGTTCTTTGGTTCGAAAGATCTTTGTAAAATCTAAGCAGCGTATGGCCAGCTTTAGTCTAATAAAACTAAACAAACTGAACTCTCTGTACCCAAGTTTTTTTGGAGTCAGGACATAGGGACAGTGCCCTTAAAGGGTATTTCCACATGTGTAGCTAAACTGGGATAACACCTATGTTATATTTGTTACATATTTCTCATTCACATAGAATTAATTAAAAATAAATAAATTGCTTAAAACATGTTCAATTCTCAAAGAAAATTGTTTCTTTTTGCTGAATCTCCCTCTGGAATGCAAGGGGGATGGGGAGAGTAGTGTTTATTATAATTAAACCTGTCTGTACTGTGTTGGCAGATCTAATTATCAGATTCCAGTGCAATATTGTTGATAAATGAGGTTTAATAGACTCCAGGAAAGAAGACTCGTAACTCCATGCAAAAAGCTTAACTGTCGCACCTTGAAGAAGTGGTCTTGGGGACTTCTTAAGTTGTGATTGTTTTCTTAGGTGATGCTCAAGTTTCATACAGACCCAGAACAAGTGCAGATGAAAACAGGTGGAAAAAAAGGTGCAGTTGAAAAAGTAGTGCAAGCTCTGAAGAAAACAGGTGCAAAACAGGGGCAAAAAACATGCAATTGAAAAAGTAGTGCAAGCTCTGAAGAAAACAGGTGCAAAACACGTGCAAAAAACATGTGCTGTTGGAAAATTAGTGCAAGCTTTGGGCAAAACATGTGCAGTTGGAAAAGTAGTGCATGCTCAGGTGAAAACAGGGGCACATGTTGAAAGACAGATTTGCACGTAAAAAAAAAATGATCTAGGAGGCTAAAACTGTTGTAATTGCTTTGATAAATTCCCCCCATACTGTATATTGGGGTCTTCTACATTTTGCCTGCGAAAGTGGAAAAAACCTTCAAATTTGTGATAATAGATCAGGTTCCTAGACTGAGACAAAGGGGGGTGATTTACTAAACACTACAGAGGTGTATACATGTTCGTGGTGTGTTTATAAGGTTAGTAAATCAACCCCAAAGTAACAGTTGTATTACTGCTTTGAAGTTTATTGAATTCATAAATGAAATACTTTATCACTGCATGTTCTTAACCATTTGATTTATACTTATTTCTGTGAAATGTGTTTATTTTGTTTTCATTTCAGATAATTATTTGGGCTAAGGCCAAGGGACTTCCCTCTAGAGACTCTCACTGCGTGACTGTGGAGACTGACTCCAGATTGACTGAACTTTTATGAGTAGTCACACCTGCTGCATAATGTTATAACTTTTTGTCTATGTTACATTGTCCTATGCATTTTTTCTTTCTTTTTGTGTCATATCTGGTTCCATGCATTATGTGCTGTGTAAATGTATAGTGTGATTAGCTTGTGGCAGGGCAGGGATGCCTGAAACATTACAGGACTATATTGGCAGCTTATAAGCAACAAATTACACTTTCTGCACTGCAGCCCCCTTTTTCTTATGTATATTTTGGTGATTTTTTTGGAACTTAGTAATAAAAATAATAATAATAATAATAAGAAGAAGAATAGGAATAGGGAAGGAGTTGAGAGGAGCCCTAAGGCTCTTTATATTTCAGCAAGCATTAATTCATAGCTCTTTCTTTTGTTTGGTGGTCTGTATAGTTGATAACAGATTTTGCATATGAAGCTGATGATGCTGTGCATTCTAACAGTAATTTTTACTAAAATAATCACATGACAAAGAGCTTGCACACGAGAGCATTCTAATTCAGGTGTGCCTAGGGCAGCATGGTGCCTAAATATAGCCTTGATGAAGAGACAGCTAGATGCACAAATTAATGAATGGACTGGGCTATGTAACCATGGTATTCCAATATACATATCTGGCTTAGGGGTGAGAAAGTGTATTCTGAAATAAGGTGCATATATAAAAGAAAATACCTGGGACATCAGTGTATCACATCCGGCACTTAATCCAGAGCCGATGTATATGCCAGTTATATTTATGACCTATGTGGAAAAGAGATAGATTGGTGAACCATTTAGACTTACAATGAAGTGGCATTGTAAAAAGTTAGGGCTGTGCAAATTAACGATTAATTTCTCGTTTAATCGTTAATCTTTTTGATCGATTAAAATTTTTTTGATCGATTAATTTTTTTTTAAAAACTCTCTGCACGAGCGCCAGCCAAGGCATTGGCCTATACACATACAGCACAGCAATGAAGTCATACAATGAACTAGGATCACACTAATCTAGCACGTTATTATTCTGAGTTGCCCCACTCAAGCGGCGGCCATATTGAGTGGGGCACATTAATAACGTGCTGGATTACTGTGATCCTAGTTTATTTTATTACTTCATTGCTGTGCTTTATGTGTATAGGCTAATGTAGTTGGATCTGTATGTGCATTATAATTCATCAAAATTAATCAATTAATCGATTAAAAAAATTTCGATTAATCGAACACAAAAATGTTAATCATTACCAGCCCTAACAAAGTGATTACACAAATATAATGGGGTTCTTACAAAAAAAACCATACTGCACTATTGTAATCATATTGCATAATAATACAATGCAATTCTCTTCTTCTCAAAGAAATGTGGTCATAATCCCTGGGTCTGAGTAGCCAATGTAGCCCCTCGACTCCTACATGTAGAGTGCAACTATATAAGCGTGTACTCTGATAAATGCTACAAATGTTCCATAGGAGGTATATACAGTACAGTAATACCTTGGTTTACAAGTAACTTGGTTTGAGAGTGTTTTGCAAGACAAGCAAACATTTCTGAAAAATGTTGCCTTGATATACAAGCAAACGTCTTGCAGTAAGAGCAAAATTTTGTAGAAAAGCGCCACCGAATGAGGCTGAAGCAGTGCGAGCGATGAGTCTGTTTAAGGACAATGCAATGTCACATTGGATAGATTCCTTGTTAAGGTTTCACGAAATGAAAAAGATTCCATTGAGCCGAGAGATAGCGGTGATTTCGTTAGCGATAGTGAAAGTCGTCCTACACAATAATCCTCCTCTCTCTTGTCCCCCTTACACTAGCCACGAAGGTACCAGTAATTGGTTTATTTTTCTTTATATTTTGTACAGTATTATAATACAGTACAGTATTATAATCATTTTTATATGAATATTTTTGGGTTGTGGAACGAATCATCTGAATTTCCATTATTTCCTATGGGGAAATTCGCTTTGATATACAAGTGCTTTGGATTACAAGCATGCTGCCGGAGCAAATTATGCTCGTAAACCAAGGTATCACTGTATAGAGAAATAGAAATTTCATATAAAAGACTATTTCTAAAAATATGGATACATTTGTGCGCCTTGCAGATTTTAGCAATGATGCAATTTCTAAAAAGCCCTGTCCCATTTTTCCTGATGTGTTACTAGAGGTACAGACAGATTTGCTGCCATGATATACAGTATATTGGGGTAGTGAATTAAAATTCAAGTGGGTCTGGTGAATACAATTTTCATTGAGCCAAGGTCCGAATCGGGGTCTGGACAGAACGGTCACTCAGTCCCGTGACCGTACCACAGCCATTTAGGCTGCGTTTACACCAGAAGCTGCACTGCAATGCACAGCTGCTGGTGTGTGTTCCCAGACACAGTGCTAAAGCTCTGATCGTGGTGCATCACACTGTTTATTTTTTTAGAATAGTTTTGTTAGAAATTACACACACCCCTAGGGTGAGGGGGGCATGATCATGGCTAATGCAAGTGATCTGGGTGGCTGTGAAGCCACCTAGATCACTTGTATTTGTAGAAGCGGGCCCTACTTGACATTATTGGTTGCTAGGAATCCAGCAGTCCTAACAGCCAAAGACTGAAACAGAGGGGGGGGCCTGCACTGTGTTATGGCCTTGGAGGCCATCATAGCCACTGTCAGCCAGCCATAACCCAGCACAGGTTGGCAATCATGGTCCAGACAGAACCGCTGCTAGGTCCATGTCCAGACCGCAGTCTGCCATTTAGTGATCCCTGATATACATAAACAGAAAAAGAAGAAAACTAGAGTCTGTACTGATATACCAGTATTATTCAATACACACATATACAAGATCTACCTAAAATTACTATACAAAATGACTGAGACAATGAAGTTGCTTGTAATATCATTATGTCAGCCGATCGTTGACTTTCCGATCCTCTCCCTGCAGAGAGCGGTCACTGTCAGTCACTGCTCCCCACAGGGATTCCCCTCTCCGTTTCTCCAGCACTGACTGGAGGAATGGATGGGGCTGGCAGCTGTCAATCAGCCTCCGGGGTGGATCTCGACAGTCTTGTTAGGATCCATCCCGACAGTGGCACACCTCGGAGCTCTCAGCATATAGCGGGCAATAGCACGCTGTATACTGAGTTTTGGGTCACCTGGAACATCAGTATATGTCCTCTTGTGACCCTGAAAAGAACTATGGCGACAAAAGGTTACCCCATAGTTATCTTTTAAACAAAAAAAAAAGATGAATGGTAAAAAAAAACTCCCAAACAAGTAAATACTTACAGTTGAAGCTAGCATAGCAGAATCCAATTCAATTTTTCCTAAATGGCCACAGAACACAGAACTCACAATCAATACAAGCAGTACCATCATTTGAGATAAGAACTAAAAGAAAATGAAAATGTCAATCAATCATATTTGCTTTAATAAATGCATATTATACAACTGTCAGTCACCCCTCCCTGCAGGGATTACCCCCTCCCCTTCCCGTTCTTCCAGCGCTCAATGGAGGGATAGACAGGAATGTTGGTGCCTAAAAAACTAAGTCTTGCAGTGGGGCTATCCCCGTATTGCAAGGGTCAAGATCTTGCTTTAGTCTAGGGGCTCAAGGGGCTCGCTTAAGTCTTGAGTCTAGGGGCTCAAATAAAGAAGATCTACTAAAATCCCAGAGTTCTTAAGTCAGAGGGTCGCAATAGCAGACAGGCAATTCGTGTTTTCCAAAGGAGGCCAGCATTGGCAAACCCCTATTTCCTTAATGTAAGGTTTTAAAAAAACAAAAACAAATCTAGACATTTGTTTTGTATGCATGTGCATATATTTTTTTCTCATATTCTTAGATTTTGTATATAATTATATCCCCACACCTCAAACACAATTAGGCGCTGGCTCTACAAGCAGTCCGTTCATTGCTCAACATGCAGCCATTGTAGAGAAAAGGGAAGCCTCACTTTAGGATAGAAGCCATTACAGGTGTTTAATGGTCAGTCTGGTGCTAATGCAAAATCTCCTGAACCTCTGCCCTTTAACACATTTTACCCAGTAATGAACTGAGCGAAATGCATTAGTGACAGACAATTCAGGTGATTTTGCCATTTGCACTGGACAGATCAATATACCTAGTGGGGGACATCAAATGGGAAAATTTATTTCACCAACTGAACTTGGACTAACTGTGGGAATGCGTGTAATTCACTCACCTCATAGTTCTCCTTTAAGTACTAGTGTTGTTATAAGTGTGCTTGTAACAAGACTAAAAAAATACCCTTTTTTAAATTCTTACTACCAATTCATTTTTCATGACAAGATTTTGGGGTATACACCTCCTTCTTTAAGTCAAAGTAGTGCTTATACACAGATGTTTAGCAAAATGCCAACATGAATTCAACAATTAAATGACCATCTTTGGACGTTAGAAAGAAGAATGAAAAGTGTATCAGTTTGTTCACACTGAAATTAGGTGGCTTATGTTATGAGTCATTCGATGACCAGCAGATACTTGGTCACTAAAGGAAGAACTCATACACACATACAGTGTATAATACCCCTGCAAATATGGTGCAAATATGGGAGAGCAAGCAAGTGAAAATGTGTAAGACATTTCAATAATTATTTTCAGGGAAACTTAAAGGAGTTATAAAGTCCAAGCCAGAGGCGGCTCTCTAATTAGGCAAATTAGGCGGCCGCCTAATTTGCCTACTAAATTACAGGGCACCTTAGCGCTGCGGCTGCGATCCAGGCCGGACACAATCAGCCTGATTGTGTTCGGCTCGGCCGACCCGCTGTGCCCGATGCAGAGCGTCAGGCACTAGCCTGCCCGACGCTATGGATCAGCCTGCTCAGTGACCTGCTCCCTCCGTGTACCCCCGCCCCACGGCCTCCTGGGACCCCCCTTGACCTCCTGAGACTACACACAGACCACCTGAAACCCCACACAGCCTCCTGAGATCCCCGCACAGCCTCCTGAGACCCAGCAGAGCCATCAATTTTCCATTATGGGCATGACTGGGGCCTAATTTTTAAGTTTCGCCTAAGGCCTCGCAAAGTCTAGAGCCGCCTCTGGTCCAAGCATATACTATCTTGTTATAACATCAGAATTGTAATAGGAATACATACTAGAGTTATTTCAACAACTTCCCGGATTTTTAGTGTGCTTTGGGTCTCTTTCCCTGCTGGTCGATTACTCAAGACTACATAGCCAATTGTGCATTGCCTCCAGCAAGCAATGATAATGTTACATTGTTCAGACAAGTGACAAAAGAATTTGGCAATCATGGTCCAGACAGAACCGCTGCTAGGTCCATGGCCAGACCACAGTCTGCCATTTAGTGATCCCTGATATACATAAACAGAAAAAGAAGAAAACTAGAGTCTGTACTGATATACCAGTATTATTCAATACACACATATACAAGATCTACCTAAAATTACTATACAAAATGACTGAGACAATGAAGTTGCTTGTAATATCATTATGTCAGCCGATCGTTGACTTTCCGATCCTCTCCCTGCAGAGAGCGGTCACTGTCAGTCACATAGGGCTTAGTGAAACCGTGTCACTTCATTGAGGAAGTACATCCTATGGGCATCTTCAATACGTTTACAAACTTCTAGATTTATAAAGTTAATAGGACTAGGAACTTATGCAAATTCATTATAGAAATACATACTTTGTTTTATGTTTTGACTATAGATACCCTTTAACTCTAACAGCTGTTTTTAAAATTTCACAAACTGCAGTTACAAAAAGTCCTTTTTTGAATACTATCATTGCTTAGTGAACACGCCTTCACAAAGAAGTGCTACCTGATCACTGATAATCTGTCAACAACCTGGTGCATTGGTTAGTTAGTCTCATTAATACCTAGCTGGACTTGTTAGCTGTGCAGACAATTACTTTGGGGTAACCCACTCTGGGTATGCATAGAGTTATGTACATTCACAATATTGAACCGACACGGAGTGCATTTATCGTGCAGTACTATCCTTGGTAATCAATCATATTTAGAATATGGCACCCATAAAAATCTGAATGCCACATTCTGTAAAAATACATCAATTGAAGTACATTCTTACCACAGGTATGGCCAACTCAAGCTGCTTCTTTGCCTCATAACAGAATCCATAAGGTACTAGTTGACGAAACAGTCTCTTAATTCCATGAGGTTTGCCTGACAGAGGAGAGGTCTCTTCGGCTTCCGCCTTGTGTCTTGTCATAGATTTTGGAGAATCTCGATGGTAGATGTAAAGTTTTGTAGGACTCCTACACTAGAGACTGTAGTGAAAGGTCCACTGTGCATAATGGCACTGAGCATTTGATCAATGTTTAGCCTGGAGTGGTAAGAGGTTTCACAATGTGCACCTAAAGGGAGGAGGACATGCTGTAATCTGATCATCCAGTAAGACATATCAATTATCTCTCAAAAAAAATAGAAAGGAATTCATAGGAAACAATGTTTGTTATCTAGGAATTTCTTCATTGCTAAAAAAAATATTATTTTAGTCAATGGTAATTCTTGAACTATTTTTACAAGCTACAGCAGTTATTTCACAAGCAAGACATTATATATAAATATTTGCATAGTGTCTTAAAAAAAAAACTTGGAACATTTACATGAAAAGGAAGTCATAGGGGTCTATTCACATAGCTGCCGAAGGATCAGGCCCTAGCTTCGGCCGATCCTTCGGCTAGCTTCGGCCCCAGGATCCCTTCGGTTCAGTACCAGGGACACTGCTAACCAGGGACACTGATCTCCAAACAGCTAACTCTCCCTGGCGCCCCGGGAGTCTCCTGCTCCCGGCCGCCAAGGAGAGAAACACTGCTGTGTCTTTTTTTCTTTATTCTGACACGAGCGATGTCAGAATAGAAAAAAAAAGAAGAAGAATTTTCCCATTGAAAAGCATTGGGACATTACTATTGGCTATTTCAATTTGCAATAGATAATAGTAAACTAGCATTGTACCCACCCTCTGCTGCAGTTCCCCATCAGGTCCATCAGCAGAGGGGACAATGCTAGTTTACTATTGGCTATTGCAAATTGAAATAGCCAATAGTAATGTCAACGGTACCACACAAGCGCTTACTTCACAAGCTGAGAGCTATGGGCATAGATGAGGTGGTGTGTACGTAGAGAACTGGCTACGGGAACGGGTCCAGAGGGTGTCTGTAAATGGCACCTTTTCAGAGTGGGCTAGTGTAATGAGCTGTGTGCCTCAGGGTTCTGTGCTGGGTCTCATATTGTTCAACTTATTTATTAATGACATCGGGGAAGGTGTTAACAGCGATATTTCCGTGTTTGCGGATGATACTAAAATTGGGAGTGTAATAGACACGGACTTAGACATTGTGGCATTACAGGAGGACTTTGATAAAATAGGGGAATGGGCATTAATGTGGCAGATGAGGTTTAATGTTGATAAATGCCAAGTAATGCACTTTGGAATAAAAAAAAAAAAAAAAGGGGAGACGATTTCCTAAGGGACCGTAATATACAGGGGTACAAGTAGTATTCCTAGGAATGAGATTCTATAGGTTGGACTTGATGGACTAATGTCTTTATTCAACCTCAAATACTATGTAACTATGTAACTATGTAAGATCATCTGCAGACTTTCTATGGTCAGATGGAAAAAGCGCTACACATTCCCTCCATCTACGCTAAACTGTGTGGATGGAGGAATCTCCCACTGGGCCAAGCTTCCATATCTAGCTAGTCAGTCCCGCTGGCTCTCAAAATACCTGAACTATCTGATTGGATGCAGGCGGCATTGTTCAGGTATTTTAAGAGCCAGTGGGGCTGATGATGATCAATGGACATCATGCGCCAGATGTTTCTATATGATGACGTATGCTATATACCAGACATTATACGGGATGACATTTGTTTTTCGGTAGATCACCTTGTTCCTTATAAGCCACATTGGATTGGTTATTTGGCTGCTGCCTCCACATGAAAAAGTTGCATTACTACTATATGTAAATTTACCCACAAAGGATGCAGGGTGACTGATAAAGGTGTCTATGTTGTTTGACTGATGAAGGACTGGGCATTTTGATAATATGTCCTTCTAAGCTATATCTGCATGGTGGTCTCTAGCGATTTTTGCCTTGAATGGATTTCTCAGTTGTAATATACCTTGATACAGTATGCACCCTATATGTGGAACCTGATTCATTGATGTCAGGAGAATACAGACATATGACCTGCATATATATATGCATATGGCTTATGACATACATGCAGATAGAGGAAGAGGAATTACAATTCTGAGATCTGAAAAAGGAAACTGGATGACTCCGATTACTAAATAAATTGAATCTACATAATTGTTCATATCAAGAAAATCAAGATGCTTTTATAAGTTTATTGAAATAGAGCCATGATCCCAATAAGGATGCTTTGCTGTGACTTCTACAGTGCTAATGGCTGATAGATAACTTCAATACACATTTGCTAACTAAACGTGAGATTGTAGTCCATCACGGGAGGGAGCTTGGAGCGGTGGCTACTTTACAACAGATACAGGGATCATGGAGAAAAAAAGTAGCCACCCTCCACAAGGAAGGACTGTGTCAGCACCCATTCAGATATGATTTGAGGATCTATAGCCAAGTGATACATACACATACATTTTTGTTAATAGTTAAGGTACTTGAATGCATTTTTAGGATTTAACTCTTGAGTTTAGTGTCAATTTAAAGTATGCAATGTCAGATATCATGTGCATCGCTGGTAGTAAGCATAGCAGCAAAGATCACAGCTAATGTGCTCTCTGGTGGTACCAGAGCAGTAGAAGAGGCTGGCTATGAATTACCCTGAAAGCATCAATTCTAAACTACCCTAGCAATAAAAAGGCCACATATTGCACTGATTTTTTTTAAGGCATGTCAATCAGCATATACAGTATGTTTAGACCTTCAACCTTTCCACTTCTGTCTGGATACACTGAATCGCAATACAGGAAAGAGTTGACAACTTATAGTACAGATGGCCAATTTAAGAGTTAACCTTTTTCCCAAAAATGTTTTAGCACCTTAACACAAAAAAATGTGTTAATCACCGCTTGAAAACAGGTCATAGTAGAAGGACTTGTTTGATTTAATCTGTTTGCTGAAAGTAACCTAGGGCAATTCACATTCCCTGTGTGGGGTTCCAAAACGTGTTCTGTATTTCTTTCAGGTGTAGGAATGGCTTTGTGATTTTTAATGTATGCAAATATGGAATCCTTTGCCTTTTCAGATTACCCCCAGTTTTGTCCCCCCTTCACATAAGGTGGTGTAAAGAGATATAAAGAAGATGCATAATTAGAGCTATTAGAAGTTAATAAGAGATGACAATGTAATGGAATAATATAAATAGAATAAGGGGATAGATAGGAAGAAGGAGAAGTTGTAGGAATGGCAAATGTTAGTCACAAACAGGGCTGGATTGACCATTACACAAAATAAGCACATGCTTAGGGCACCAACGGAAGGGGATAACACAAACATTTTTCTCCTAGCTGACGCCCATTTTTAAACAAGGTTCACATATCCTCTTTGCCCCTTTGCACTGAGCTAACTGATCCCACCCTCCTCCTCAACAGAGGTATGCTTATATACTTACCAAGACATTTCACACTGCAACTCCTCTCTCTCCAGGCCTCGCAGGTGCATTACACTTCTTTGGGTCTCCTCTGTCTTTGTCTGTCTTTGTCTCCCAGCCAGGAGATGAAAGTAGATGAGCCCTATAACCCTCTTAATCATTTATGAAGATTTGATGTGCAGTCTGCCTAGAACCACCAACTCTTCATGACTGACATCCACCCACCAAACCATTTTGATATTTTTATCATTTTGATGCACTGTTTTCATCAGGGCTGAGGGCACTTTAGGCTCCGTGTACCAGGGAGTATTCGTTTTTGCGTGTTTGTGCGCACGGGTTCAGCTTGCTTTTTTGCATGTTTATGCACTTTTTTCACATTTTCTTTGCGTGTATGCGTTTTGACATTGCGGTCAATGGATGAATGCGTACAAACGCACAAAAACAGAAAATGTGCAACATGCTTCTGTCACAGGTTTCCTGACGTTACCATTGAAGTATATGGGGTAAAAATGAGCTGCAAACTGCTAAAAGTATCTCATGTAGCAGTTTTGCTGCTGGCATTTTGCTGCTCAGGTGTGAACAGGGGCCATTCAAAATCATGGGATTTCTTGGGTTCAGTGTTTTGAAGCACTTTTTCTACTGCTCAAAAATTCCTAGATGTGAACCAGGCCTAAGAGAAGAACTGAAGCAGGGTGGTGTGACTTTTTACTTTTTAGGAAGCTACAGTATGTACAACACCCTGACACCCCCTTTCCCAATCCAACCAGTCATGATCAGCTTGCATTGCACTAAGAAACACAGTAGCTAAAAATTAACAATTAAGGATGATGAAAGTTATAGCCATAAAATATAAAAAAAGACATACAGGCATGTTAAAGCTAGCTCCCAGGATATTTTATTGTTTCTGGGTGGTATATCATCTAGATCAGTGCTCCCCAACCTTTTTATCGCCGCGGACCGGTCAACGTTTGATAATTTTACCGTGGCCCGCTGAGGGGGGGACGTTGATTGTTTATATTTTAGATTGTTTTGATTTAATAATTTTAATTAAATTGTATCTAAACATGCCTCAAAATAAAATACAGTTACACCAAAAAATGAAAGCGTTGGAATTCTTCACCTATTCCACCACCGAAAAACTGGGCGAGATTACGTGAAAATGTGTGACCACGTCACTGGTCACACATTCTAACGTAGTCTCAAACTGTGATAGAACAGAGGACTGTCTGTAATCATTTAATCAGAGAAATAGATTATAATAGGGAACATTACAGTGTAATATTCCCCATTATAATCCACATGTCTAATTACATTAAATAGCAGTACACAACAGAGAAATAGATTATAATAGGGAACATTACAGTGGTGTAATATTCCCCATTATAATCCACATGTCTAAATATATGAAGCGTCCATATTAAAGGACAATTAAGTGAGGCAGCGATAAATGGCTGGAGAGACTCTGAATCAATAAAGATAACAAAAAAAGTCATCATAATTTTACTGTGTGGGCTCTTCTCATCTTCCCTTCTCAGATGTGTGATTAATACAAACGCGCTGCTATTATTCGCTCATTTCAGACTGCGGTCCAGAAGCTTATTGGTCATTAATTCTTTTAGGCGAGTGAGTGAG